GGAAAGAGCCAAGAATCAGTGTCAGACAGAAGGAGATAAGAATTCAGCTGGGCTTGTAGGTTTAGTGGCAGGAAATCCTACCAAGACCTTTCCATGAGTCTTGGTAATGTAAGCAGAAAATCTGGATTCTCTGGGAAGCTCAGCATACTTGGTGGACATCATTTAATTCACTTTTGCAACTCATGTTAAAAGGAAGTGGACATTTTCTTCATCCTTGACTGTACTGATGCACTACAGAGCAAAATAACAAGTTTCCAAAGCAACTTGGTAACAGAGCTGAGACAAGTGATCTGTGTGTTCTCTTTATGGAGAACACTTCCTCCCCAAATTGGGAATGAGTATGGCAAAATGATAACATGGTAAAATAATCATCACTGACACTGGTTGAGTACTTGCTCTGTGCCAGGCAGTGTTCTAGTACTTCACCTGCAATAACTCATTTGATCCCTACATTATGATACCATTTTACAGGTGAGGAAACCGAATCCCAGGGAGATTAAGTATCTTGCCCAAGGTCAAAGGCTAATGGCAAAACTAGGTTTTACACCCAAAGAGCCTGACTCCAAAATGGATGATTTTAACTACACTACTAAACTCCCTTTCTGGCAGAGGGGAAAGAATGTATTAGGAATCAAAAGAGTTGGGTAGGCCCTAGCTGGGTGGCTCAGGTGGTTAGAGCATCATCCTGATACACCAAGGTTGTGGGTTCAATCTCTGGTCAGGACATATATAAGAAGCAACCATTGAATGCATAAATAAGTGGGACAACGAATGTTTGCTCATCAATAAAGTGAGAATGATGCTTACTTTACAAGTCTTTTTAAAGGATTATGAAATATTGAAAATGGGAGCTCACTATACAAAAAACATTATTATTATGCTAATTAGAAGACCTAATATTCTTGTCTTCTAATTGGGTTGCAATCTAATAGGCTGTTGTTGAGACCCATAACCAGTACAGCAGCAGAGGTTTGGGATTCTGGCTCCTTGGGCAGATCAGCTGATTCTCATCCCATCAGCTTTAACATCCCTGATGGAACCTCTTTGATGACATAAAGCACACCTCAGTGTCCCCTCCCCCATGAACACATTCACTCCTACCTCTGGGAACTGTTACAACTTATGCCCTCACTTCTTTGATTCCATTGCCTGAAGGAGTGACTGTTTTAAAAAAATAAGTAATAAATAGCCTGATTACAGCTAATATTGAGGTATACCCCAGAAGGCCAAGTTCCAATTTGGTGGTAGACTCACTGTTCCAGTTAAGAATCAGACTATCAGAGCTAAAAAAGAATGTCAAGGTCATCTTTTAATGCAACTCCCTGACCTTCCTTCCAACCCA